AGGTATTATGGTTAATCACAAGAGTCCACAATTAAGGTTGCATAGTGGAGTATACTCGGGGCGGTGGGAGGGGTGCGGGGGGGATTGTATACTGAAGAAAGAATTTTACTTTTCAAAGAGAGGATTGAACTGTGGGGGAGGGCTGGGCAGGGAGAAAAGTGCAACAATGAATGAATGGAAATACAAAATCTCTGTAAATGTTTATGATAACTGAAGAAAAAAAAGAAAGAAAAAAGAATAAAACTGTACCCCATACGGGGGTGTCTGTGTGTATGTATGCATATATACCTAACTGTGTATATACTAGTCTCCAGTTTGGGGCCTCCTGTGTGAAGCAGTTGGATTCTGGAGGGTAAATTGTTTTGATTTAATTGAAAGTCAGGTGTAAACTATTTGGTCTTTCTTTTTAATTTCATTAACAATCAAGGTGATTGGTTGTTTGGATTTAGCTCACAATCAGCTGTGGGCTAGAAACCTCCTGTTTAAATCAATCAGCACCTGGTATTTAAAAATATTTAAAAGTCAGCTGTATTTAAAAGTCAGATGGGCTCTGACTTAGAGTCTCCAGTTTGGGGCCTCCTGTGTGAAGCAGTTGGTGTTAATTATGTTTGGGGAGAGCATTGTTCTAAGTGGCACAGCACTTGTCTGTCAGTTTGCTGTACTGCGATAACTTGGGATTGTTGGGATGCTGAAAGCTATTTCACTGGTGTGTCAAATGCCATAAGGGTGAGACATGGTGGACAGGGTTTAGTAGAGCTCCATTGTGAGGACTACAACCAACATCCCAAAGTGTGCATGAACTACTGCAGAAGAAACCAACTTGGAGCTTTCAGTCAAAGTGGAACAGAAAACTAATATGCTCTGTCAACCTTCACTGAAGTCGCAACAATAACTTAAAAAAAGACAAAGGAAACCAATTTGCTCTGTAACGTTTTACTCAAATCACAACAAAAGGTTAAAAGCCTAAAGCATGTAAACAAAGACCGTCCAGTATGACTGGAGACTCCTTGGTATGAATGGACACTCTGTGATGGGAGTGGACATCTTGTTGTGTGAATGAAGCAGAGAATGGAGACTCCTAGCATGAATAGACATCCTGTGGTATGAATGCAGATGCCATGGTATGAGGGGACATGCAGTGGTGTGAACTGAGACTCTGTGACACGTGCATGGAGACACACGTGTTAATGGAAACAGTTGGTGTGAATGGAGATTCTGTGGTGTGAGTGAACCCAGTGTGAATGGAGACACTGTGGTGTGAATGGAGACGCTGGTGTGAAAGGAGACATTGTGGCGTGAATGGAGACATATGGTGTGAATGGAGACACTGTGGTGTGAACAGAGACACTGGTGTGAATGGACACAACTAGTATGAATGGAGACACTTTGGTATGAATGGGACTGTGGTGTGAATGGACACCTTGGTGTGAATGGAGACACCTTGGTGGGAATGGAGACACTGTGGTGTGAATAGCGACACTGTGGTGTGAATGGAGACACTGCAGTGTGAATGAAGACACTGTGGTGTGAATGGAGACTCTGGTGTGAATGGACACCTTGGTGTGAATGGAGACACCATGGTGTGAATGGAGACACCATGGTGTGAATAGAGACACTGTGGTGTGAACAGAGACACTGCAGTGTGAATGGAGACTCTGGTGTGAACGGAGGCACTGGTGTGAATGGAGACACTGTGGTGTGAATGGACA